CCTCTGCAGTTAGAAGAAAAATAATCAGCACTCATTAGAATTTTTTAAACTTTGAAGGCAGGCTGCCTCATCCCTAGAGATAAGGATGTAGTAAGGCTGATAGAAGTCTCAGGAAAAATACGTATGTTCACTCTGTCCACCAAGAACTGACAATGACACACAATTTGGCTTTGTGTGGCTGAGGTTTTTTCTGATTCTCTGAGTTTTGTAGGGAGTAGTCATGCAGGGGTTCCACCTGAGTGTCAGAGGGTTTTTAGTGCAGCTCCCCTCATGTTCTTACCTTGGGCTTTGTCCTTTGTGTCTGCTGTGAACCCTACTGGAGATTGGCAGATGGGTGCCTTGTGAACCCTTGTTCCTTAATTGCTGCTTGAGTCTTTACATCTTACTTTGGTTTTCAGCCTTGGAGGATTTCTCATGCTTTCTTGAAAGTGTAGGCAGAAATGTTAAAATATTTTAATATCTAACATTTTTAGGTATTTTGTTATAAGAAAGGTTTTCAGGATATTGAGTACAGTGCTATGCAAAAACCCAAAAATTCTATATAGGATTTTTTAAATTGAGGCAAAATTCATAGCGGTGGCTCATACCTGTAATCCCCGCACTTTGAGAGGCCGAGGTGGGTGGATCACTTGATGTCAGGAGTTCAAGACCAGCCTGGCCAACATGGTGAAACTTTGTCTCTACTAAAAATACAAAATTAGCTGGGCATGGTGATGGGTGCCTATAATCCCAACTACTTGGGAGGCTGAGGCATGAGAATCACTTGAACCTGGGAAGTAGAGGTTGCAGTGAGCAGAGATCATGCCACTGCACTCCAGACTGGGTGACAGAGGGAGACTCCATCTCAAAAAATAAAAATAAAATAAACATACATTCATTGTAACTACAGTTAACCCTTGAACAACACATAGCAGTTATAAGCACTGATCCTACAATGTCAGTTGAAAATTCATGTATAACTTTTGATTTCCCCAGAAGTTAACTACTAATAGCCTACTACTGACCAGAAATCCTATCAATAACAAACAGTCAATTAACACATATTTTCTATGTTATATATGTTATGTGCCATATTCTTAAGGTAAGCTAGAGAAAAGAAATGTTAAGAAAATTATAAGGAAGGCTGTGTACAGTGGCTTACATCTATAATCCCAAACTTTGGGAACCTGAGGCAGGAAGATTGCTTGTGTCCAGGAGTTTGAGACCAGCCTGGGTAACGTAGTGAGACTCTGTTGCCACAAAAATAAATTAGCCAGGCATGGTGTTCCATGTCTGTAGTCCCAGCTACTGTGGAGGCTGAGGAAGGAGGATCATTTGAGCCCAGGAGGCTGCAGTGAACCATGATTGCACCACTGCACTCAGCCTCAGCAGCAGAGTGAGACCCTGTCTCAATTTAAAAATTAAAATTAAAAGAAATTCTTTAAGAATTATAAGGAAGAGAGCATATATTTACTATTAATTAAGTGGGTCTTGATCCTATTCTTTTTGCTGAATAGGCTGAGGAAGAAGAAGAGGAGGAATTGGTCCTGCTGTCTTAGGTGGCAGGGGCAGAAAACAATCTGCTTATCATTGGACCCATGCAGTTCAAACTCCTGTTGTTCAAGGTCCAACTTTATTTCCTCTAATTTCAATACATTTTCATTACCCCAAAAGGAAACCCGATGCCCATTAAGCAGTCTCTCCCCTTTCTGCCTTTCACCAGTTCCAAATAACCACCAATCTGCTTCTGTGTCTGTGGATTTACCTGTTCTGGACATTTCATATAACTAGAATCACATAATATATGACTTTTTGTGTCTAACATCTTTCACTTAATCTTTTCAAGGTTCATCCATGTCATAGCATGTATTAGAATTTTATTACTTTAATGGCCTAATATTTCATTGTATAGATACACCACATTTTATATATCAGTTCATTGATAGACATTTAGGTTGTTTCCACCTTATGCTATTGTGACTAATGCTGCTATGAAAATTCACATACAGTTTTTTGTTTGAATATCTGTGTTCATTTCTTCTAAGTATCAACCTAGGAATAGAATTGCTGGGTGATATAGTAACTTTAACTTTTTGAGGAATTGTCTAACTATTTTGCACAGCGGCTGCACCATTGTATATTCTACTAGCAGTATGCAGTACTACTAGGATTCCAGTTTCTCCACAAGAAACATTTGTTATTTTCCATTGTGTTTTTTTAAATGGCCCTCTGGTAGGTGTGAAGTGGTATCTTATTACAGTTTTGATTTTAATTTGCATTTGCAGTTTCCTAATTACTAATGAAATTAAGTGTCTGTATTATAGCTTTTTATTTGTAAAATTATTTTATTTTATTTATTTTTGGGACAGAGTCTCACTCTGTTGCTCAGGCTGGAGTGCAGTGGCATGATCATGGCTCACTGCAAACTCCGCCTCCCGGGTTCAAGCAATTCTCCTGCCTCAGCCTCCTGAGTAGCTTAGACTACAGCCGCCTGCCACCACACCCAGCTAATTTTCATATTTTTAGTAGAGACAGGGTTTCACCAGGTTTGCCAGGCTGGTCTCAAACTACTGAGCTCAGGTGATCCACCTGCCTTGACCTCCCAAAGTTGTATTATGGATTTTTAAAAGGTTATTAGCCAGGCATGGTGACAGATGCCTGCAATTCTAGCTACTCGGGAGGCTGAGGCAGAAAGTTGCCCTAGAGCTTGAACCTGGGAGGCGGAGGTTGCAGTGAGCAGAGATTGCACCATTGTACTCCAGCCAGGGCGACAGAATTAGATTCCTTTTCAAAAAATAAAATGATAAACTACAATTATAAAATATAAACCAGATCATGTTGTTTCTTGCTGGAAACCCTCCCATGGCTTCCCATTATACTGAAAGTAAAACCAAACCTCTCTATTCTGGCCACAGAGCCCTTCTTGGTCATGTTTAGCCAACTTCTTCCATGGCACATGCTTGCTGACCTCCTTCCTATTCCTTGAGTGCACTGAGTTTCATTCTTGCTGGGGAGCTGTTTCATCCCTGACTCTTCATGCTTCCCCATCTTCAAATGGCCAACTCGCTCATTCTTTTTTTCTCTCTCTCTTTTCCTTTCTTTCGACAGTCTTACTCTGTCGCCCATGCTGGCGCCATTGTACAATGGAGCCATGTCGGCTCACTACAACCTCTACCTACCAGGTTCAAGCAATTCTCCTACCTCAGTCTCCTGAGTAGCTGGGACTATAGGTGCCTGCCACCACGCCTGGCTATTTTTTTGTATTTTTGGTATGGACGGGGTTTCACTATGTTGGCCAGGCTGCTCTCAAACTTTTTCTTATCATTCTGATCTTAGTGTGTTACCCTCCTGAGAAGTTTTCTGTAACTCTCCAGTCTAAAATTAGCCAGCACTGATCACATCACCATTCATTCTCCACCTGGCACTCACAGTGTCTGATGCTTTTCTTGCATGGTTGTCAGCTGTCTGCCTACTAGAATGGAAATGCCAAAAGGCTTGTCTTGTTTGTTACTAGATTCTGGCTCCCAGATTAGTGCCTAATGTGATGTAATCATTGAATAAAAACAGGCCTAATGGATCAATAGCTTTCTTCCCCTGGATTTTATATGGCTTAAAATTCAAATTTGTATTCTTGGTATGAGGTGGGGATTTTACCTTCATTTATTTTTTCAGTTTGATGGCTGGTTGTCCAAATAACATTCACTAACAATTCATATCTTTTCCAATGGTTTTAAATACCCCTTTATCACATACTGTATATTCTAATTCAAGGTTGTCTTCTAGAGGCTGTTCTTGTCTCATGACCTATTTGTGATTAAACTGGCATCATACTCTTTTGATTACTCAAAAGTTTTCATGCTTTGTAGTGTATTAACAAAGAAATGACATACTTCATTTGGGTAATTTGAAGAAAGTTTAATCAAGATACCATTTATTTAGTAAGATGTTACAAAGTTCAAGGAAACCACAAGGGCTAGATCACTACTCTGAATTATTAACTAACATCCCAAGGTTTACATGGGCAATAAGAGGTCACTTTTGCCAGAACCTAGAGAAAGAAATAATGTGGAGAGGGTAGCCTTGACAGCAGTGATGCCTTTGGTGGAAGAAGTGGAAAGAATAAATATCCAGACCTCATTCTCCTTCCTTTCTCCTGTTTCCTGCCAGCAAGACTTCACATTGGCTGAACACAGAAGCAAGAAGACAGGGGACCTGGAGATGTGATCCCTACAAGCCAGGCCCCAGGGCACAGAATTTAGACAGAAAGTGTGGACAGTGGATCTGGAGGGCAAAGGAAAGTTGTCCAGGAGAAAGGAATAGCCTCCACTCCAAAATTTCTTGGCCAGTTACGGTTGCTTATGCCTGTAATCCCAGCACTTTGGGAGGCCGAGGTGGGTGGATCACGAGGTCAGGAATTCAAGACCAGCTTGGGCAACATGGTAAAACCCTCTCTCTACTAAAAATACAAAAATTAGCTAGGTGTGGTGGGACACGTCTGTAATATCAGCTATTTGGGAGGCTGAGGCAGGAGAATCTCTTGAACCTGGGAGGCAGAGTTTGCAGTGAGCTAAGATTATACCACTGCACTCCAGTCTGGGCAACAGAGCAACACTTTGTCTCAAAAAACAAAAATTTATTGGCTGCTCTTGTACATATACTTCACCAGTGACCACAGTCTTATAATATCAGTTACTGTTAAAAACCAGCCTGAGGCCAATCATGGTGGAGCACGCCTGTAATCCCGGCACTTTGAGAGGCTGGGGTGGGTGGATCACCTAAAGTCAGGAATTCCAGAGCAGCCTGGCCAACATAGTGAAACCTCGTCTCTACTAAAAGTACAAAAATTAGCCAGGGCATGCCTATAGTCACTCAGGAGGCTGAGGCACGAGAATTGCTTGAACTGGGGAGGCGGAGGTTGCAGTAAGCAAAGATTGCACCACTGCACTCCAGCCTGGGAGACAGAGCAATACTCAGTCTCAAAAAAAAAAAAAAAAAAAAAAAAAGAAAGAAAGAAAACCCAGCCTGTATACTTGGAACTTCTTCCTGTTTTATCTGTTTACGCTTACCGTCTAGTAGCTGTTCTGTTTCTTTGGAACCTATTCCTTGTCTGTTTTCTTTCATCTGAAATCCAGTATGTTTACTTGGAATCCCCTCTCTGTTCCATCAACCCATGTTGAACAATTAGGTCCTGAAGCCCTACTAATTAAGAGGGTTTTGCTCTTTTGTTAGACTCATAGGTAATAAAACCATTTTATGCAGTAGACACATTTTCTCACCACTGTGTTGCTTGTAAACTTTGTATTCATTAGGGATGGAGACTGGATTTTCTTTAGTTTTTCGAAGTGGAATGTGATGATTCTGAGGCTCTATCTAGTCTAACAAGTGTAGTGATGAGTTAAAAGCAGCCACCTTGGCCATAGGAATGAAGAGTTGCAGCATGCGTTTTGTATATTTGCTTTCTTGGTCTTGTGCACTCAGCTTTGGGTCACCTTCCTCTTATCTTGAATAGCTGACTTTCTCTGGTACCTCCCACTTTAATCTTACCTCTTACATCTTTTTTTTTTTTTTTTTTTTTTTTTTCCTAGCCCCAGTAAGACAAGAGAATGCTCTTGTATTCAGAATAAAGGGAGTTCAGATTTTGAAATGATAACTAGAGAAAGCCTTACTCTAACTTACTGGAGAAATTTAAAATCAAGGGAATCTAAAATTTGATCCTGTGAGGATTTATAACCAGTTGAAAAAAAAAATCCTGAGAATAGGAAAAAGAAAGTCATCCTCCCAGACCATTCTTGTCTTTACCATTCACAAATATGTAGGGTATTAAGAATAGAAGGGACTGTCAGCGTCTTTGAGTCCATCACCCTTCCTATGCAGATGAGGCTGCATATGCAGAAAGAATGGTTTGCCCACATTGTGACAAGTGATGGAGCTGGAAGGAGAACCTCATTCTCCTGAGCTGGTGTTCTATCCATTAGACCAACTAGTTTCTCATTTTGAACCCAGGACTGATTTTCTAGTATATATGGCTAACCTATTGTGTTTTCATGTGGGTATGGGAGGCGATCTGAAGGCAGCAACCAAATCCTGTACTTTTTGCAGACATTGTTTAGGTGGGAAGAAGAGTTGGGTCTTAAAAAGTTAATGATTTTCTTGAGGATTATGCTGATGATTTGTCATTTGAAGCCTATGTAAGGAAAAAGAGACTACATGAGCAAGTTAAGCTGAAAAATGTTCAGTTTTAGAGTAGGTGGGGAGAGTTTTTACTTTGAGCAGATAGAGACATTGGGGTTTCCTGTACTCTGAGTGGGGAATATTGGGATAAAGAAAATATGTTATGAGCTGATAACAGGGGTATTGCCATACAGATAGTATTTCCAGAGACATTTTCAAGCAAATACATTTCTTTCTGTTTTGGCTCTTTCAAGGGAGATATTCAAGCATTTTTATGTTTCTTTTTATTGAGTTGCCCTGTGTTGGTCAATGTGGGATGACTAGATGGAGTTGAAAGTGCAAAGGGATCTCCTTCCTTAATTCCTGAGTGCTCTATGGAGGAATAAGAGCCATCTGGATATCAGAAGAGGAAGCTCTTAATGAGCTCCTTTTTGTTTTGCTCCAAAGACTTTTGAATTGATTGTTAAATTCACTTTAACTTAGAAACTTGCCTTTGCTTTTATATGGCATAAAAGGAGGTGATTCCGGGGGTTCTGTGATGGACATATGCACCAGCAGCTGTTGCTCTGAATTTTGACTTGCTCCCCCTGGCTCCCTACTGCCACAGCCCTGCAAGTGCCTGCTATGGGGAACTCTGACCCATCCTTTTTGTCCATGGTGCTTGATCTCGGCTGTTTCCAGGTGGCTTGGCCCTCCTCTGAGACAGACATCAATTGCAAAGATCAGAGTAGGCTGGCTTTTGAAGAGTTTTTTACATTCTGCTTTGCAGACCTGTTGAAATGTGCTATTCCTTTCATGTTGCCACTCCATCTGTTTCTTGAAAGGGCAAAGGGAGTGTCTTCATGTGATTGAGGGCTATTGATGTTGCCTTCAAATTCATTTCCAATTAATTTCTACATTTTTGTCATAGGTATTAGCCATTGCATTCCCTTGATCTTGACATTGCTGTAGCAAGGCTGCCAGTGAGAAACAAGAAGAACAATTTCTGTACACTCTCTAAAGCAAGAACAAAGGAAAAGTTCTCATTCATTATGGGGGTTATATTAAATGCCATTCTTAATTCTTTCCTTTGTATAAAATCGGGTCTGGATAATAGCTTGTTACAGGATTATATTCATTATCGAGTTGAGCTTCTAGTGACACCTTGTCAACAAGCACCCATAATACATTCATTTACTGCCTACTACCTCTGTATGCCAGACACTGTGGGATTTCAATAACACCATTGCCGATCCTTACAACAACCTTACAAGGTATTCTCCTTGTATTATAGGTGAAAAAACAAAACCTACAACTAAATTTTGGCCATATTTCCCCAAATTCCATAGCAGGCATATTGTATGGGAGATGCCTTTGGCCTGCTGAGTCCAAAGTCTTTTCTCTTTGCATTATACCAGGGGAATATAAATGAGCCAAATCTGGCCTGCTACCTATATCTGTTTTATTAAAAGATGGCCACACCCAGTTATTTATATATATATTTTCTAGGGTTGCTTTTACACTACAGTGGCAGAGCTGAGTAGTTGCAGGAAAGACTAGATGGCCCACAAAGCAGAAAATGTTTACTATCTGGAGCTTTATGAGTGCTGTTGACCCCTGCGTTATACTGTTCCTGAAGGTGGCCCTGTGGTTAGCAAATTAGATGGATTTTCTGGTGGCACATTACAAGTCTAAAATCAAAGATTCTATCATCTGTCTGTCTAACTCACTGTTTTTTCTTTTTATGTCGTGTTGTCTTTTAAATATTTTCGTTATGATTTTGTAGAGGGTAGTGGCTTTTATCTCTGAGTCGAAATGCCAGTTGGTAATAGTTTGATTTATTTGTTTAGAGATTTCCTGTCAGCAGTCTTGTAATAGATTATTTGAGATTCTAAATGGTTTCATGAAGCATACATTTTTCAACAGGCCTTTCTTTCTTGAGGGGAAAAAGCCAGTAGTGATTCTGCGGTGTTTAAGGAAGTTTTGTTGAGAGAAGCAGCATCCCTGTGTTTTTGCCTGATGTTAATGTATTATTACATAGACAAACTCTAGCCAAGGTGAGATTGAGGAAATACTAGTATCAGTTTTATGCACCTTGGGTTAGTTGAAGGTGTGCCTGGAAGGAAGACAGTTGTAAGGCAGCAGTTCTTAAATATCGTTGTACATAAGAAACACTTTGGGGTGCTTGTTTAAAGAAATGTAGATTTTCAGACCCCCAGCCCTAGCAATTCTGGATCAGTACGTCTGATATAGATAGCTCTGAAGCTTATGAAAAAAAAAAAACCCATGGGTTTGGGAGGTGGATTAATGGTTTAATGCACTAATTCTAGGTAGTCCAAATAAGGATATTCATGATTTGTTTGTTAATCCTGGTTTAGTTTACCTCAAACTGTGATGTAACTATAAACTTTAAATGTTTAAGTACAACATAACAGGAAATAAAATAATGCCACTGTAAATGTATTTTAACTACTTCTACCACTAATAATGCAATAACATTTTATGTTTATCCTTTATAGTTATAGAGTTCCTCATTACACACATCCCACTTGATTTTTATGTCAACCCTTGAAGTAGATGTGGCAAGGGGTATAATTTTAATTTATCAATGAGAAAACTGAAATTTAGAAAACATGTTTTTTTTCCAACATGGCACAGCTAATATGCACTACATCTAGAATTCCCATACAACATTTCTGAGTTTTAGTCCAGCATTATTTTCAATGTACCATATTATTCTTATGACACCTATTTTGATTTTTAAAGGAAAATATAATCAGTTTATGACTCACTGCCTTCCAATAGGAAGTATGAACCGTTTATAGAAGTACTTTGTTAGTGTCTCACAGGTGACTTAATGTGGCGGCAACTGTAGGTATGCACAGATTGGTGAGTCAGATGTCTTTATAGAATGTTCCAGGCATGGAATAAGAAATCTCTCTCCTTTCTTTGACAGAAACTCTATAAAACAGGTCGGGAGATGCAGGAGAGGATCATGGACCTGCTAGTGGTGGTGGAGAATGAAGATGTAACTGTTGAGCTAATTCAGGTGAATGAGGATTTGAATAATGCCATCCTTGGATATGAGAGGTGAGCAGATCATGTACCCTCTTTGCCCCTCTTCCAGTTCTGTTTTCACCACCAATTACTCAGCATTCTTATCAGAGTGCCTACAAAAGACCCCTCTTTCTAGATTCTTCTGTCTCAATAGGAAAGGTATTGGCATGTGGGGTGGGACGGTTTTCCCTTGTGTGGCTCCTACTTAGTAAATGACAGAGGTCTTTCTCCTAGTTAAAGTGACATTTCAGCCCAGCACGGTGGCTCCCTCCTATAATCCCAGCACTTTTGGAGGCCGAAGTAGGAGGATCACTTGAGTCCAGGTATTCCAGATTACCCCTGGCAATATAGTAAGACCCTGACTCTACAAAAAATAAAAAAATTAGCTGAGTGTGGTGGTTCTAGTGGGTGCTTGTAGTCCTAGCTACTAGAGAGGCTGAGGTGGGAGGATAGCTTGAGACTAGGAATTTGAGGCTGTGGTGAGCTATGATCGCACCACTGTACTCTAGCCTGGGTGATGGAGTGAAATCCCACCTTTAAAAGAAATAATAATAAAATGACATGTTAAGACACTCTTAGGGGCCCTGTTTCTGTTGAGAATTACTGGGAATGTCTGCTTGCATAGTGACTGTATTTCTAATCAGCTGAAAAAGAATGAGACTAGTCCTACCTATGTGAAACAGGTGAACAGGCCTGGATTCAAATCTAGCTGATGATTTTGGATAAGTTGTAGAACTTTTCTAAGATTTTTTTTCTTTCTTTTTTTTTTTTAATGTATTAAATAGGGTAATAATACCTGTTTAGAGGGTTGGGCTTTTTTTGAGGATTAAATGAGGTAATATATATGAAAACACCTAGCAAACTGCTAGCACACTGACATCTATTAAATAGTAATTTCTTCTCTTCCTCTGCACCAATGTCCCTTTTAACCTTCTAATTTATTGGCTAGGTTTTTTTTTTCCCATTTATCATGACTAAATTAAGAGAATCCGTGAAATAAAACCAGTAGTTATGGGCCAAGAATGGTGGTGCACATCTGTAATCCCAGCACCTTGGGAGACTGAGGTGGGTGGATTGCTTGAGCTCAGGAAGTTTGAGACCATCCTGAGCAACACTGCGAAACTCCATCTCTACCAAAAATTTACAAAAATTAGCCATGCATGGTGGCACACATGTTTAGTTCCAGCTACTTAGGAGGCTGAGATGGGAGGATCTCTTGAGCCAAGGAGGCAGAGGTTGCAGTGAACCAAGATTGTGCCACTACACTCCAGCCTGCATGACAGAGTGAGACTCTGTCTCAAAAACAAAGAAACATAAAAACCAGTAGCTATGAAACAGCAGTTTCTTTCCTTCACTGTCTCATAGTTACTGTGTATTTATTCAGAGAAGGGCATTGACTGAAGATGTGAGCTTAGGAACCATGCTTGCTTGCTTTCTCTTTTTTTTTTTCTTGAGACGGAGTGCCTAGGCTGGAGTGCAGTGGCGTGATCTCAGCTCACTGCAACCTCTGCCTCCCGGGTTCAAGTGATTCTCCTGCCTCAGCCTGCCAAGTAGCTGGGATTACAGGCACACACCACCATGCCTGGCTAGTTTTTTGTATTTTTAGTAGAAACGGGGTTTCACCATGTTGGCCAGGCTGGTCTTAAACTTCTGATCTCAGGTGATCCACCCTCCTCAGCCTCCCAAAGTGCTGGGATTATAGGCATGAGCTACCACGCCTGGCCACTGAGCTTTCTTTCTTACACTGAAAAAACTCACAATTGCTACCCTACTTTCTGTGGAACAAATTTTTATAAGCAGAAAAATATCCAAGGAAAACGACATTTTCAGTAGAATGCTGCATTCTGGCTTTCATTTTGGAGAATTCTATTAGAAACCATAAGACCATGGCCTAAAGTCTTCCTCCAAGGGGTAGCTTGTATTTATTTGGTCTCCTCTCAGGAGATTGGATTACTTCTGTGAACAGCTTGTTCTGACTGAGCTTTGAACCATGTGTACCAAAGCAACTGTGAACCACTTATATCCTAAGATTCAGAGAGAAACTTTGCCTCTAGAAAAGATACTAGTCTCCTAGTTTTCTCTGGCTGCTGTAACAATTAACACAAACTTAGTAGCTTATCCTGTTTTATCTGCTTTTGGATGCTCCAGAGGAGAATCCATCTTCTTACCTTTTGCAATTGCTAGAGGCTATTCACTTTCCTTGGCTTATGGCCCCTTTGCTTCATCTTCAAAGCTAACAGTGTCTAGTTCAGGCCTAATTATAACAAATCACTCTTACTTTGACTTCTGCCTCTCTCTTCGACTTTTAAGGACCTTTATGACTGCATTAGGCTCATTCGTACAGTCCAGGATAATCTCCCAATTAAGAGCAGCTTTCTAGAGTGAACCAAAAGTATCTGAGACAGGTCTGAGATCCTCCCACCTCAGCCTCCTAAGAAGCTGGGACTAAAGGCATGTGCCACCATGCATGGCTAATTTTTGTAATTTTTTGGTAGAGATGGGTTTGCGTGCACCATGTTGCCCAGGCTGGTCTCAAACTTCCTGAGCTCAAGCAATCCGCCCACCTCAGCTACCTAAGGTGCTGGAATTACAGATGTGCACCCCCGTTCTTGGCCCATAGCTACAGGTTTTAATTCATAGATTCTCTTAATTCACTCATGATAAGTGGGAAGAAAAATCTAGAAAGTTTATTTAGAAAGTTTGTTTTGCTAAGGTTGAGGATGCACCTGTCATAGCCTCAGGAAGTCTTGACAACATGTGCCCATGGTGGTCGCGGCATAGCTCCATTTTATACATTTTCAGGAGACATGAAACATCAATAAATATGTGTAAGATGTACATTGGTTTCATCTGGAAAGGTAGGAAAACTCAAAGCAGGGAAGGGGGCTTCCAGGTTATAAATAGATAAGAGACAAAGGGT